CTGCTCTGGAGGGTGGAGGTGGGTGTAGAGACAGAGCCCGGCTGGGGGACCCGGAGGTTGAGCTGCAGGCCGCTGAGGCTGCTCAGAACCAAGCCCATCCTGTCAGAAATGGTGTAGGGTCTCCTGTTGGGGGAGGGTTGGACTAGATGACCTCCAAGGCCCCTTCCCCCCTCTGACTAGGTGTAAATCCCCCGCGCTGCCGTTCAGCTGGAGAGCCGGAGGACTCACCAGGGCCCGCGGGATGTGGGGCTCCTGCCCCAGGCGGCCGTACTGCATGCCGTTGCTGCTCCAGGCCGGTTCGGGGCCCAGGTGGGGCAGCGGCGGGGGGAATCCCTGGGCCGCCTGCCTGGTCTCCTCCAAGCCCTCCTGGGCAGCGGCGGGGAAGGGCTCCTCCGGCCCCTGCCGCTGGTACGGGTGGAAGGGGGTCCGCAGGGCGGCCTTGGCGAAGCGGGGGCCGCCCTCCTCGTAGGCCGAGCGCCGGAATTTCTCAGCCGGGAAGCGGGCGAAGAGCCGCTCGGGGCAGGGCGGAGAGGCGCCGGAGCTGGGCGGGGATCCCGGCCGGCCGTGTCCCTCGGGGCGCTGGCGGTGGAAGGCTGGGTGCTCCTGTGGGGAGGAAGAGAAGAGAAGAGAAGAGAAGAGAAGAGAAGAGAAGAGAAGAGGAAATATGGAATAGGATGGAAGAAGAGAAGAAGAGATGAGGGGTCCCCAGACTTGGCGACTTTGACACTTGCGGACTTGGGAGTTGAAGTCTTAAAAGTGCCGAGTTTGGAGATCTCCGGAATAGGATCGGATAGGACAGAATAGGATACACAGAGCGGGAAGGGACCTTGGAGGTCTTCTAGTCCAACCCCTGGCTCAAGCAGGTGCCATTTGTGCCATTTCAGACTAATGGCTGTTAATCTCTTCTTAAAAACATGTTTTTCTCTTTTCTTTTATTCACACTGGGAGCCTTTGCACCAAAGACAAATTCCTTGTCTGTCCAATCACACTTGGCCAAGAAAGAATTTTCTATTCTGTTCTGTTCTATTCTATTCTTCATTATTCTATTCTATTGCATTCTATTCCTTCTGTATTCTATTCTATTTTCTATTCTATTCACTATTCTCTTCTCTTCTATTTTTTATTTTCTATTCTATTCCATTCTACTCCTTCTTTATTCTATACTATTTTCTATTCTATTCTATTCACTATTCTCTTCTCTTCTATTTTCTATTCTATTCTATTCTATTCATTTTCTATTCTATTCTATTCTATTCTATTCTATTCTATTCTATTCTATTCTATTCTATTCTATTTTCTATTCTATTCACTATTCTATTCTATTCTATTTTCTGTTCTTTTCTATTCTATTCTATTATTCTATTCTATTCATATTTTATTCTATTCTATTCTAGTGTAGTCTATTCTATTCTATTTTATTTTCTATTTTCTATTCTATTCTATTCTATTTTCCATTCTATTATATTCACTATTCTATTCTATTCTATATTCTATTCTATTCTATTCTATTCTATTCTATTCTATTCTATTCTATTCTGTTCTGTTCTGTTCTGTTCTGTTCTGTTCTATTCTATTCTATTTTCTAATTTTCTATTTTCTCTTCTCTTCTCTTCTCTTCTCTTCTCTTCTCTTCTCTTCTCTTCTCTTCTCTTCTCTTCTCTTCTCTTCTCTTTTTAACAAAGCCCAAAGGAGAAGCCGGCTGTCCTTTGGTGGAGACACCCCCCCTTCCGAAGGGTCCCAGGTGAATTGGTGAGACTTGCAGGCAGGGAGGGAGCCCTCCGAGACCCCCCCCCCCTGGCTGAGCAGGAGCCCCCCTCATTGCTGCTCCTCCTCGGACGGCCAGTTCTCTTTAGAAATGGGGGGGGGGCGGCTTCTGCTTGTTGACCGAGACACCATCCAGCTGCCCCCACCTCCGCTGACCCCGTTGCTCCGCCATGGGGCTGCAGAACAGGAGGGCACAAGAGAGACCCCCCCCTCCTAGTTTCCCAGTCTTGGTGGGGGGGCAGCTAGGGGGGGAACCTTGCAGGGGGAGGGAGGTATTTCAACTTGGCGAGGGGAAGATACTGCCCAACCCCCTCCCCAACTAGAGCAGCCCCCTCCCCTTCCCCAGCTCAGGTGAAGGATGGGGGGGGTCAGCTTCTTGGGGAGGGGCTTCCCCGGGCTCCCTGGAAAGGTGGCCAAGGAGCGACCCTTACCTGCCGGGCAGGAGAGGCTGACTCTTCACAGGCCTGCATTCGGTCACCACCTGGGTTGCTCTCCAGGGGATCCAGAGAAGGAAACGTGATCCTGGCTTGATCCTGGAACAAGGAAACCATTGCCGGACTCAGCTGGGGATCTGTGGCCGGAGAAAAACCCAGAATGGGAGGGAGGAAGGAGGTCAGATCTGGGGGACAAAGAGGAAAAAGGGGCTTGGGAAGAGGCCAGCCTGGATTCCGAGCAAGGCTTTGACCACTAGGCTCAGCTCCGCCGGCTGGGCGCACCCCCCCCCCGTCTTTCCATCCTCTTTCATCTCTGGCAAAGCCACAGCCCAGAGCCCCTCCTTGAGGGAGAGGAGGGGGGGGTCTCCCACCTGGGCCCCTTTCAGACTCGGGGACTTCAACTCCCAGAATTCCCCAGCCAGCAGACGAGGGGTCTCCAACCTTCGGCACTGTAAGATTTGGGGACTCCAACTCCCAAGCTGAGGAATTCTGGGAGTTGGAGTCCCCAAATCGTAAAGTGGAGGTTGGAGACCCCCTGTCTAGAAACATGACCTGTACATCAATAAAATCAAAGAGAGGCCCCCTCCCTCAATTCACCCCCCCCTGGACAGGGCTGAGTGCCCCAGAGGGCCAGAAGGGGGAAAGGGGGTCTGGAAAGGACAGGGGTGTCCCAGGGAGGGGGTCAGAAGACATCAACGGAGAGACTCTGAGTTCTAATTCTGCTGGCTGCGGGATTCTGGGAGTTGAAGTCCACCACACATCTTATAAATTGCCACAGTCGAGAAACGGCTCTATGGCAGAAAGGTGAAAGAAGCCCCCTATGGAAGCCCCGCCTCCCCCCCCACCCCCCCAACCCCCCCACCCCCCCAAGGGGGCATTCCAGCCTTCACCTGGGCCGGGATTCCCCCCACCTGCCCCTCCTGAAACACCTGGAGAAATGGGGGCCCGGGAAGAGAAGCGCCGAGACAGGTGTTCTCTTGGAGAGGGTGTATTCCGAGGGGGGAGCGCGAGCCCTCTGCAAGGAGGGGGGGGATGGACTAGATGACCTACAAGGTCCCTTCCAACTCGGTGAATCTGAATCTATCTAGTGTCCGAGGGGGCAGCGCGGAGGAGACACGGAGCGCTCCTGGCGCCCCCTCCCCGCTGCGGCTCCCCTGGTTCCCCGAGGGAAAGTGGGGCCAAATGCCCCCCCGCCCCCCCGCCCCGCGCCGCCTTTGGAGTTTAAAAGGGAGGAAATCCCGCGCGAAGCCCCCGAAAGCGAGCCGGGGGGGGGAGGGGGCGCATTCCAAGCCGGCGAGGGCTGCGCGCAGCTGCCTGCTGGACCTGCCGGCGGTGCGCGCACGCTTCCACTTGTCGGCGGGGGGGGGGGGGGGGGGGGGGGGGACAGCCCCCGGACCCCGGGCCCGCCGCCCGGGCGGGGGGGGGGGAGAGGCCCCCCCCCCCCCCCCCGCCCCCCCCCGTTTTCTCAAGGCAGGCAGTTGCAGGGAGCCGAGCTCACCTGGTAGACCAGCTGGGCGCAAGAAAGGGGAGATCGGGCCTCATCCAGCCCCAGGAACCCGGCCAAGGGACACCTGTCTGCGAAAGGGGGGGGCGGGGGGCGGGCGGGGAGGGAAGCGATCAAAGAGAGCGGGCGATCGGTTGATTTCTGGGGCTTCCCCGCCCCCCTCTACCTGTCGGGGAAGGAGATAAGACGCGAGCGCACCTGCAGAAACCGCGTTGCAGTCAGAGGAGACCCTCGCCCCCCCCTTCCCGAATGGGGTCCTGCTCTGGGCATCGGGGAGGGGCCGGGGGTGGGTGGGGGAGAAGCGGGAGCCCCAAGCCCTAGAAAGGGAGACCCCGGCGGGTCTCGCTTGACAGTTCAGATTCGGCGGCGCAATTAGGTCGTAAATAAAATGACACTGAAAAAGCGGAGCGGGTCCCGCGCCGAAGTCCAGCCCTGCGGTGGCCGGAGGCGGGCGGGGGGGGGGGGGGGGCGGGGGGGCCGCTGGCCAGGCAGGTGGGGACCCCCGGCGGTGCTGGCCGCGGGCTGGAGCAAAGTCCCCCCTCCGGCTTCCCGGGGCTTCAATGCGGCTCCTTGCGCCGAGCCGGGCCGGGTCTGGCCCCCTCCCGCAGAGACCCGACCAGGGGTCTCCAACCTTGAAGCTTGAAGCCTGGTGGACTTCAACTCCCACAGACAGGGGCTTCAAGTGGCCAAGGTGGGAGACACCTGTCCTAGGCGCCCCTTTGCACACACACACCCGCAGCACCTGGGAAACGGCGCCGGGCTGGCTTAGGCGAGCCTCGTCCGAGGGTTCAGGGGGGACCCCGCTTCCCCTTCCCCTTCCCAGCCCGGAGGAGGGGCGGCTTCCCGGGCGTTGGGCTCCCCGGGGGCCCCTGGAGCGCGAGCGAGGTCTGCCGCCCTTCTCCCGGGCTCCGCGTGGCTTGGCGGGCGGGGACCGGCCTTGCTGGCGCCTGGCCTCGACCGCAAAGCACCCGCCGCCCGGGTTGCTCGCTCGCCCGGCCTTCGGGGCTGCAGGAGCGCGCCCTTCTCGCTGCCTGCCTCGGGGCTGCCCTCCCTGGCAAGGACGGGCGGCGATGCCCTGCAGCCTCCCGAGCCGTCCCGGCTCCCTGCGCTGCGCGCTCCGCTTGGCCCGCGCTTGGCTCGCGCTTCCCACTTCCAGCCCGTCCTCCATCCCCTCCCCACCCAGGAAACCATCCCGTCTCCCACCGGTGGCCCAGAGGGGGGGGCAGAAGGAGGGGGGATCCCCTAAAGAGACCCCGAGGTTGTGGCCTTATTGTGACTGCAGCTGCAAAATCAGAAGTTGTGTAGCCCCTTTGCAGCCACACTCACAAAAGGGTGGGTGGGGGTCTCTTTTATGAAGGGGCTGCCTTTGGATCTTTGGCTACCCCAGGCTAACACAACCCTCCTACAAATACGACAATCCCTTGTTGTTGTGGGCTCCGAGTGCCTGCCCCCTGAATCTCTTTAGCCCGACCCGGATGGGAGGGGGGGCTTGTGGGCTTCCTATCTGGGGCTCCAAATGGCCACCCAGGACCCCTAACTGAGGGGGGATTCAGCAGGTTCTAACCAGTTCTGGAGAACCGGTAGCGGAAAATTGGAGTGATTTGCAGAACGGAAAATCCCACCTCTGACCGGACATTTTATCGGTCCCCGGCCACGCTCCCCAAGCCACGCCCACAGAACCGGTAGTCCCAACATTGGACTCCCACCCAGAACCCCTTAGCTGGCCTGGCTGAGGAGGGGGCCTCTTTCCTGCCTTCCCCACCACGAGGGGCCGCCTGGAGAGAAATGCCAGCAGGGTCTACGGGCCCAGGTCCCTTGAGGGCGAGGATGGCCCCACGGAAGGCCCAGCTTGTCACAGAAGAAAAGGGTGATCATACCTGGACCACCCACCCACCCACCCACCCAAGGCTCTGCAGCAGCTGGGAACTGCCAAGGGAGGGGAAACGGGGGTTGGACCGTGACTGTCACTGATGCCCTCCAGGTTGAAGGGTGCCCACTGGGCAGGTTAGGTGCGCTACAAAGGCTGAGTAAGGCCAAACCTGGAGTCCTGCAGCCAGTTTTGATCACCACACTATAAAAAAGAGGTTGAGACTCTAGAAAAAAGGTGCAGAGAAGAGCAACCAGGAGGATGAGGGGACTGGAGGATAAAACCTACGAAGAACGGTTGCAGGAACTGGGCCTGGCTAGTTTAGGGAGGAGAAGGACCGGGGGAGACAGGAGAGCATCTTCCAATATTTGAGGGGCTGCCCCAGAGAGGAGAGAGGGGGGTCAAGCTATTCTCCAAGACACCCGAAGGCCAGACAAGGAATAATATAACCAAGGAGAGATTCAACCTGGAAATAAGGAGAAACTTTCTGACAGGGAGAACCATCAACTCATGGAACAGAAGTTGCCTTCAGAGGTTGTGGGAGTGTCGTCACTTGAGGCTTCCAAGAAGAGACTGGACTGCCATTGGTCAGAAATGGTGTAGAAGGGTCTCCCACTTGGGGGGGGGTTGGACTAGATGACCTAAAGGCTCCCTTCCAACTCTGTTATTCTGTTATTCTAGTTGCTTCCTGTAGCGGAGTCATGAGCCCTGGTAAAGAATGGCGTCAATCACCCAACAAACTCCTGGAACAAATTTGGGGTACTGGAGCTGCAGCCCCCGAAGCCATGGAAGGCCAAGGAATAAGACGGATGCTGGTCAAGCATAGCCGGTTGTGTGAATGTGGCCGAGGGGCCGTTTGCTGACCTGGGTCTTCATTGCAGGCTGCGCAGAGCTCGCTTTGGGGAGCCCTGGCGCAAAGGAGGGGGGGGGCACTAAAAGGGGACCCTCGTGTGCCTGTCAGTGGGGCTCACACGCCCCTGCGCCCTGCAAATGTGGAGCAAGCTGCATTCACTTAGTACATTTCTCAGTTAAGCAACCTACATTTTGCACTCAATCGTGGCTGTAACTTGAGGACAAGCTGTCCACACCAAAGGGCAGTAACCGTTGTGCAGGAGGGAAAATGGCCGGGACCACCCTTGCCCTGGGGGTTGGCCGTCCTTTAGCCTTTGCCCCCCCACCCTTTTAAGTGGGGGTGGGGCTTCTGACCTGGCCCATGTCAGAGAAGGGCAGTAAAGGTCATCGAGCGGAGCCCCAGAGGTGCTTTTTCAAAAGACTCCTGGACTCCCCTGAAGACATTTCGCTTCTTATCAAAACAAATATAAATCCTGCTGTTCCCCACCATTCAGTCAGAACCGAAGAAGCCTTCTCGGACGAGAAGGGAAACGTTTTTGAGGAAAAAATAAACCAGAAAGTCCAGCTGCCTTTGGGGGAAAGAAATGAAAAGCACCTTTGGGACAAACCACCAGCCGGAGGGTCGAGCGTTTCCATAGACCCCCTGGAGGAGGGGTCTCCAACCTTGGCCACTTTAAGACGTGGGCACTTCTACCCCCGGAGCTCCTGTGTTCTGGCAGAATATAACAGAGTAACAGTTGGGACCTTAGAGGTCTTCTAGTCCAACCCCCGGCCCATTCCAGACAAATGGGTGTCCAATCGGTCAGAAATGGTGTAGGGGACGGACAGACGAGGGGTTGAACTAGATGACCTCCAAGGTCCCTTCCAACTTTGTTCATCGGTATTAACCTCTTTCTTAAAACCTCCCAGTGTTGGAGCATTCACAACCAACGTTGTGGCACGTCGGCCACTCTTTTATCCTTGGTCCCTCCCGCTCCCAAGATTTGGAAGGGACCCCTAGAGGTCTTCTAGCTCGACCCCCTGCCCGAGCAGCAGACCTTACTCCAGGGCTGTCCAATCTTGGACTTCACCTCCAACAGTGTGTGTGTGTGGGGGGGGGGGGAGATTTCTGTCCAGGTGTTGTTTTGCTAAACTGAGCAGGCAGTGAGTGGGTGGGTTCCCCCCCCCACCCCCCGGAGGGCCTCGCCTTCTGACTCACCCCTGGGATGGTTCTCTGGAACGGGGGCTGCTTACCCTTCAACGCTTCCTGGGGAGATGCCCCAAGCCAAGGACGGGCGTTGCAAGGGAGGGTCGGTCCTGCAGGCGGCCTGGCCCACGCCCTGGTCTTCTGCAGAAGAGGGTTGACGCGGCTGCCCAGGACGGCAGGGCCACGCCTGGGCCCTATCTGGCCCCCAGATCTGCCTACCTCAGGGAAAACCTCTGCCCAGCTGTTGCACTTTCTCTGAGGTCTCCGCCGGATGGCTGCTCTGACCGCCCCCCACCACGCCTCCCCTGCCATGGGAGCAGCAGAGAGGATGCTGGCCAGGCCTGGGAGAAAAACCATCCAAACTCTTCCCCCCCCCACCCCCCGTCTTCTCCCCAATAAGAGCCAACATCTGGAGGGCCCAGCTGGAGATGGCCAGGCCAGCTTTTGAGCAGGAGGTTTATTTTTGGGGAGGGGGGGATATGGGCAAGGAGGAGGCAGGCAGGGAGCATCACACAGAATAACAGAGTGGGAAGGGACCTTGGAGGTCTTCTAGTCTAACCCCCGCTCCGGCAGGAGAGCCTATATCAGGGGTGTCCATCCTTGGGCCTTTCAGACGGGAGTGATTGCAACTCCCTGACCCTCTGCTGGAGGAGGAATTCTGGGAGTTGAAGTCCAGAAGTGTTAAAAGTTCCCTGAGGTTACCTTTACTGGGTCTATCCCAGGGGTCTTGGCCACCTTAAGGCTTGGGGACTTCAACTCCCGCCATTCCCCAGCCAGCAGACCAAGTGGCCAAGGCGGGAGACGCCTGTCTGCCGGCTGGGGAATTCTGGGAGTTGAAGTCCCCAAGCCTTAAAATTCCCAAGGTTGGATGGACATCCTTATCCCATTCTGGACAAAGGCCCGTCCAGCCTCTGGACAAATGCCCGTCCAACCTCCAATGAGGGAGCCCCCGCCCTAATGTCCAGAGGGAAACCCTTCCACTAATTAATTAGGCTTCATTCTACATTTAAACAGCCCCCAAATACCAGAGAATCAGGACAGAATCAACTCCGGTTTTTTTAGTCCCAACCGAACACAAGACCCTGGATCTCCACCATTCCAGGTGCACCTTTTCCCCCCCTGGTTCCCCCCCCCCCCCAAGAACCAGCCCCCCACCCCCTCCTCCTGCAAAGCCACCGGGACAGGAATATCCCCCCAACCCTGGAACGCCCAGGGGGTAATCCTAAGAAACGCCTAATTGTGGTGGGCAAACAAGGGGGGGGGGAGGCTGTAATGCGGCACCCGTTGTTGAAGTGCCCACCTCTGCCAAAGCATCCCTGGCCCAGACGTGGCCTTCAGGTGCGGGAGGGAAGGTATATGGAGATGCTCAACCATCCAGGTCATGGTTGTCCCAAAGGCAACCGGATTCCTTGGTTTTTCCTTAAAACTCTTCTCTTTCTCACCCAAGAACAGGGGTTCGAGCCGTGGAAGTCTTCAACTTCAAGCCGTGGAAGTCTTCAACTTCAAGCCGTGGAAGTCTTCAACTTCAAGCCGTGGAAGTCTTCAACTTCAAGCCGTGGAAGTCTTCAACTTCAAGCCGTGGAAGTC